CACAACAGCGGACAGGAAATAATTCCCTTCTAATTTACTATTTTTCTTTTATCAAATCTCTTCAGTTAAGGGGGGCTTAAGCCTTGCCACTTGAGGCACCTCAAAATGGAGGAGACACTGGCACTGAGCCCTCCTCAGACACTTGGGAAGTCTTCCCCATCAGGCAAAAATTCTCAAGCCTGTGTCTCTGGCACCCAAAAGGATATCGTAAGCTCTGTGCTCAGGAACTGGCCAGGATGTTTTTTTTCCAGGCTTCTACTATTCTAGTGAATACACTCATCATCAAAGCAACAGCTATTCTCATATTGAATAGTTTTGCTTTTTTATTTTTTATTTTTTTAAGATTTCATTTTCAATGCAGATCAGAAACTAAAGTAAAAAAAAATAAATATAAAAGTATATTCCCCCCCAGACAGCCCTACGCTTCAGCGTTTGTCGTTAATGTCCCCAGACACTTTTAGCAAGGATGAAGTTAGGTTTGCTGTCCTAATCAAACTCCAAAATAAGTAATTGCATTTTCTCTATCTTAACGCCATTCACACTTTCAATGAGATGTATTATTTTTCACTTCTAACCTGAATGTTTTTTACTGTTACACTACAACGTTAAATACTTGCAGTGTTATATCCCAGCGGTGGCATATTGGGGTATTGGAAGGAACTCATCTCTACAGCTTTGCTTTGCAAACACTGCCTTAGACCCTGGGGATGGAAGCTGCCCATGAAACACGGCGGTTTTCTGACATGCAGCTACTTCCCAGTGATATCTGATATTCTCTTATGACCCTCCATCCGCCCAGAGCTGGGACAGGAGATAGCTGTGGTAATTGTGCAGTGACTGCTAGAGACCAAATAGCTTCGATTACACTGAGAGACATGCAGTTGGCTAACAGAAACACGATGCGTGCAACTGAAAAGCATTAACTTTGCAGTTATGGCTTTTAAAACTCATCCTTATTTCTAACCTTAGGAGGAAGGAAAAGGAGGAAGGAAAAGTAGAAGAAAATATTGCCACAGAGAAGATTAATTCCTGCAGAACAAGGGTCTCAGTCTCAATTAACTGGACCTATTTTGACTTTCCATTAAATACTTTCTATTCAAATCAGAAAACAACAACCGGCGTAACTCCAGCCCAGCTTAGTTACAAAACTGTAATAGTATCAGTTTAGACTAATTGTGGATTTGGCTACAATTAAGATCATTTTCTAGCTGGAATAGAGCAGGCCATAGACAGTGGTCATGCAGGAAGTCACCTCTCACCCAAATTATTGAGGGAAATAATTACCCTTCAGTTTTCTGCCTTTCTGGGCACCAGAAAAGCACTTACCTCCTGGTCACTGTAACATGCTCTTTCCCACAGACTGAACCCAAACTGGAAATAACGCCACCACCTTTCTGGAATGTTTTTTGTATCATCAGTACATACACCCAGACCAAAACTTCCCCCTAAATCACCTGAACAAATGTACCACAATTTGCTTCTCACTGCTTACACGAACCACCACGAGCCGCTGCATCTCCATGCAAGGTGTTCATGCTGCAAAGACTTCTTATGGCAAAACAGAAAACTCTCAGTAACCGCAGAGCAAAGCTTTGCTAAGGAGACAAAGACAAATGTGCATGATTCCTGCCTCATCTCTGCGTTGTCCGCGCACTCCCTGTATCCCTCTAGGAGACGGCAGCCTACTCGCCTGGGGAGAAAAGGGAGGCAGCACTGCATGGCCACTGGTGCCAGCAGGAGCAGGCTGTGCGGGTGGGGTTAGTTTTTTTAACTGGAAAAAGGCATAAAAACTCACGCCTCAGCTGTTCAGAGCAGTGCAGCTCAGTACCCAGCCACCCCAGGCTTTCCTGAACTTGGCCCGTTGACACTATCCACTCTTGTGCAGCACAATTAGTTTGGGATAGGATGAGGGCGAGCACTGCTCTTCAGCCTCACATCCAAGGCACTGGGATGAATGGGGTTTAAGGATCATGAAACATTTCTGTCCCAAATCTCACCTTTTTTTTTTTTGCTATGGAAATGAAGCTAAAAATTATGCTTCACCCATAGCACTGCAGACTGCAAATGAGTTTGTGGCTGATCCACGATGCGTCTTCAGTGGTTTTTAATATCTAGCTTTGGCAGCTTTCTTACCAGATGTGGCAATGAGACCCACCTGAAGGGGCTGAGGGACAAGCTCCATCCATGCAGACCAGAGGGCAGGTAATTTTGGGGTGTAGTTAACACTATAGGAGCCACTCTCATAGAAGTTAGACGCTGTGATAACGAGTAATTTTGTAGATTTGATATCACAGGTGCAAGTATCACCTTCAAGTAATGAACATCAGAAATGTGAGATACTGAAACTCTCATGATAACCTCTGAACTAAAAGGAAAAATGGCATCTGAAGCCAAAAGGTGAGAGAGGCCCTAGCTGAATAAATTAAGTGGGTAGGTACTTTTGCCATATATTTCCTTCCTCACAGTATGTAAAAGCAAGGTTTCCTGTTGGTCTGCCCTCCAGCTGGTCAGACGCAAGCAGAAGCAGCTCTGTAAGCACTTGTCGTCTCCTATCTGAGCAATAAAAGCAGCCTAATGGCAAACAGCTCACCAGGCAATTTTCATCCTGCTGATGGGGACAGACAGATTTCAAAGCAGGATTGCAGATTTCTTTAAAAGGGACACAGATCCATAAAAGATGACCGCTTGTTCGCGACATATCGAACAACCCCCTGATGAAAAAGCCAGCTGCAACAGCCAGTTGTTGATCGTGGTGGTTAGAGGCACGACACACGGCGCTTGTTGGGCACACACAGGCCATGACTGAAATGGCGTCCGGCAAGAAGAGATGACTGACTGACTCCCTTTCTAATGTTTTTTTTTTATATAAATGTAACAGTGCAACACGTGTTCAAGGAAGTCAGCCAACAAATGCAGGACTGGCACATTTAAAACAAATTTCTGCTAAATTGAAATAATTGTTTTGTATTTTCTAAACATTTATACCATCCTCTTTGAAGCAAACTGCACCAAAGTACTTGTTACATTATTTATTATAATTGGTTATTTGTAAACTCTGCTTTCAATCTGTTTTTTTCCCTATCAAATTTTGCCTTTGCCATTGAGAAAACACTGGCTTTCGTAGTGCCGTTATTACAAATTGCTTGTAAACCTCCTCACACGAACACCGAAGTCAGTGATGCTAGCTCTTCTCAGAGAAGGGCCTTTGGCAGGTACCACATGCTGCCAGAAGAGATCATTGCAGGGCAGACACAGACAGCAGCTATTGTAGTCTTCCCTTTCATCTCCTCGTTAACTACTTCATAACATGAAGAAATAGACTGAGAATCCAGAGAACACCAAACACTTCGGTTTTAAAATTCAGAAGCTACGTGAATATAATACAGTCCTTTCGCTGTACTTAAACTCTTCAGACAATCTAGAGTAAAAGGCTGTAAATATCCTTCATGTCAACGAGAGCTGACCTCCTTTCCCTCCCAACTCTCCCTCCACTGGGTGGGTGCACTGTGCATTGACTCTCCACTACTCAGGATAACGTAGGTTAGCAATGGGGCTATGGGAAATGCCCAGGGAATACAGAAGAGCGTGACACAAATGCCTGAAGGATTCAGGGCTGATCCAGCCCAGCTTGGCTAGATCTGAAACCTATACCCCTCGTTGAACCCCAGGCGATGCTTGATGAGCCGGTCAGGTATCTGCAGCATATTCCCCAGATACGATCTGCTCAAGCACAGCATGAGACCCGAGGTGCCGCCTGGGTCAGCGACCAAGGAACGGGGGCAACGCAATGCAAAGATAGCTGCACAGCTCTGCTGCGGCCAGGCGTGGGGTGGGACAGATCCACGGGTGCCAATTTCCATAACCACACGGGGACATACATGTCATTGCCCCTGCTCTAAACAGCGAGTGTAAGACGTGACAGGTGCAAAAATGACAAAATAGTAAGATTTTAAGAGGGGATCAATCATTTTATAATACAACTATAGCACGCTCTACAGAGTACATGTCGATAAGACCACCCTGACACCAAAGGTTAATTTTTTTTTGCCTGTCTGCTACTACAGCTTTTCCATTTCTCCATGAAAGTCAGAAATCTGCCTCCTTCTGAGGCATCAGAGATACCAGTGACTGTCAAGACAGGTTATGCCCTTTTCTGCACAGTCTGTATTTCTGGACACTCAACAAGCCCTGCGTTACAGTTAGTACCTGTCTCTGTAATAATAATGGATTTAAATGTATCACCAGACAAAAACAATAGTGCACACAGTGGCAAACCTTCAGGGACTTGCGGTAGCACAGTTTCGTCACCATTCTGTCTGGACCTTCAGATTATGGTTTCCAGAAAACCAGGTGTAGGTGTGAACACCAGCAGAGAATACAGTGGTGTTTTCAGCACCCCTACGTAACTTGCTGGCACATTATTTCCTCGTCTCCTACAACGCTCTCCCTTGCCTCTCCCTCCCATAAAAACAGTAGGAAAAATATGTATTGCCATTCCAGAAATAAATCACCATATGAAACCTGGACAATTGCTAATGGAACCCGAGTACCCAGGAGACAAAAATAGTGACAATGAGTGTTTGAAAAAAACAAATAATAATGAAAAGATGATGCACAAGAGTGGCTCTGTCAGCAATCTTCAACCTTTTTGCAGAAGACACACCCAGGCCATACACAGAAAGGCTTCTAAAAGTTGCACAAGATCTTGGCCATGTCTTCTATATATGCACACATTGCTTTAGTTTCCATCAGTTCATCTCCTAAGTGCACACTTGTATGCAGTAAAATTAGTCTCTTTCTCTGCATTTACACCCAACTGGAGATCTCCCAGTGTGTTCAGTCAATAGGACCACCCAGCATGACCCGTTCAGTCAGGCTGGCACCGCCATAGCCCTCTCCTTTAAGGTGTGCCATTTGAAACTTTCTGAAACATACCCTGAGAATGAAAACCTTGCAAATTGCCACTGACTGCTGAAAGCAAGAGAAGGAAACCGCTTTACCTCCAGAATGTGGTGGTGGTCCACACAGCAGCACCATGCCCTGGCCCTGGCGGACAGACACTGTGCTTCTCGTTCTGGTTTTGAAGTTCTCAAGATCTGCCAAGAGAGAAAGAACTCAATTAAAGGGAGTTTAACAGTTTTTCCTCATGAGGAGGACAGAAGGTTCGTTAGGACTTTGCTGCATGACATCAAAACAAAGCGAACATCAGCTTGGAAGGTGGGTTGGTGGGACCTGGGTGGAATGAGGGGCAGCAGGAGGCTGATGTGCATCAGAAGCAGCAAAAGGATCAGTAAATGTCTCCAACAGGCTGCAAGGCTGGTAAGGGGGAAAAGGTGCTGGTTTACCCAGGGAGGAAGACACACCTAGAGAAAACTCCAGCAACCTGTAATGCTGATAGAGTTTTGTTTTATGAGTTTATGAAGAATTACTGCCTTAAACAATCAATTATGTTATAACTCAGTCTGTTTCCCTTTTGGAGACTTGCTACTGGTGCCCTTGCAACCCATGTGTAGAAACCCTTCCTTTCCCAGAAGGAAGTTTCTTGTAACAGCTGTATGTTAGCCACACAGTGCTTAAATTAAATTCCTCCTTCCACCTCTACTTTTTTCCTCTCCTTCAGGGGCCATGCACTGAAAAAATGCAACTCCCTCTCTTCTCTCCTTGCACACTTAATTCAAGAAACTTGCTATTAAATGATGAGGTGACTCTCTGTGAGCTGAGCAGTGGCACCAGGTATTGATCAGCACCAGCGACTGCTGCGTGGGAGCACTAATACACTGAATCACTTTGGTAGCCTTTTATCTATAACAGTCCCTTGCATTTCAATTTTCTTTTTTTTTTTGCTTTCAGTGTAGCTGAGCTGTGGTTTGGTGATTACAAACCTGTTGTCAGTGCAGTTGGGAACCAGAGAAGACACACAGGTGATAAATATTTAACAGCAGGAACAGTAGGAACATCATTATAAGGTTATAAGGATGAAAAATTAAGCCTTGATTTTTATCCTCTCTTGCAAATGTTTTCTGGAAGCACTGGCATGCATACTTAAAAAAAAAATTAAATAAATAAAATCAGAAGAAGTCACTGCTTCATTTTAGAAACCTTCTTGACGGACCCCTCCTGCTAAAGTCAAATTCAGGACAAAGTCCAGGCAAAAGCAGAAGTAGTGAGTAACAATTTGTTATAGTGCTAGTAGTCACTGTGAGATTTCCAGCACAGTTCTGCCATACCCTTACGCTGTACATTACATCATTCCTGGGATCTTATTACTATAGTATTTCAATTCTTTCATTTGCATTTTAGTGGATAAATATTGCGGGGACTTAAAAAGCCTGCTGCACTACAGGGAACTATTTGTGAAAACAAAACTAGTCCAAACCTGCCACCCTCCCATCTTTGTTTTGCCCAAATCCATGGACAGAAGCAACGCCTACTGAACCCAGGCGGTGCTGCCGTCTGCATTAGGTGCAGAGGCCATTGCATTATCACACCCTTTGGGCAAAATGGGTTCACACAGGAGGTTCAAAACCACATCTGAGTTTAAAACCGGTCCAAATTTAACCTGGGTATCAATTTAACAGCAGGTTCACCAGTGTGAGCTGTTTGTTCAGACTCTGTGTAGGTACAGGGAGACAATAAGGCATGGAGTTTCCCAGCCTCAAGTCATAGTCTGAGTCTATAACTTTGAGCAGGGCGATTTTCTTTGTCCCTCTGTCTTTTTTTGGCCTAGGAAAAAAGACAGAAGGAAAACAGAGGAAAACCCATTATCAATGAAAATAGAAAGATATAATTTTTCTGTCCTAAGTTCTATAAAAAAGGTGGAATGGCACTTTTCAGGAACCACTATTGCAGTCCTCTGGCCACCTGCCACTCTCATAGATTTAAATATATTTTGACTGCATACAGGAGCAAGATTGGATCTCATCCTCACCAAGGACAGTTGCATAAGGAATAAGAGCCTAAAACCAAAATGATGCCTGGAGGAATAAATGTGGTATTAGGAAACATTTTTACATGAATATTATTTCCAATAAATGAAAAAGTAAAGTAAAAGCAAAACAAGTCCCAATCACCAAAGCAGATGCTTTATATACATGTATATACACACACACACAGAGACGCACTAGAAAAAGATTGCAGAAGTATCTGTAAGTCTCAAATTATATATAATGGAAGATCCTTCATACCTCTATTTAGCTATTTATATCTTCCTCCACGTTGACAGAACTAATACATTATGTCATATGCATATACATACATATACACACACAAAATATTTTAGAGATTATACAGAACTCACTCTTCAGGCCTGAATCCTAAAAAAGCCATAAGCAGGTCTGCTTTGGAACATAGGAGAGAAAAATTACATCTGCTGTGAGCCAGCCTGTTTAAGCCTACTTACACAGTGCTCTAGGGAATTCTTCTGTTAATCACGGGGGAGGGAATGGGAAGGGTCTTTCATTACTAATCATAAGGAACAGCCACCTGCTTGGTGACCCAGCACCTCCTGATGACGATAGTATGGAGAGAAAGTGCAGGACTCAATAGTTTAAATGCAAATCTAGCCCTCTAACTTTATTTGCAAGGAAGAAATAACCTTATTTGTTGACAAAACAGATAGCTATATATTTATGACAAGAAAAGGATTGCTACCTGGAAAAGATGTCTCTGCTTGGATGAACAACTAGGAAATGATGGAAGAATAGTCATAATCAACTGGAGGCAGCAAACAAAGCAGAGCATTCATCACTATCGTTAGTAGTGCAAACTATCAAGGTTTGAAAGTCAACTGTCAATTCTGAAAAGTGTCATGCATGTGCTTAAAATCTTCCTCTGAGTAAACTAACAAGATTAAGATAATTATAAGAAAGGCTAATGTCTCATCGAACTGATGAGGCTGATTATGCTCGTGTGTTCTGAAATCCACACTTTGAATTTATTTTTGCAATACCTAAAGAGTAACTTGAATTAACAGTAATATCATTAAGATTTTATTAATAAGAAACTTCATTTAAATACCACCTTGCAATCTTTCCCAAGAAATTAGGAACAATATTAGTGTTGTTGAACAGTTACAAAGCATACAGATTAGCGACGTGCGGATTCGAGAGATTCTCTTCTGCTTTCACATGCTGTGCAAAGTGGACAAAAACCTTTCCTACAACTTCTGCTCAAATGGGTGCAGAATATTGCACTGAAATTTTGTACCGCTGAAGTCCCCATACATGGAGGTAAGACCACTTGCTAAACAGAAGTTGAACACACTTGCGGAAAACCACCTCGCAGGAAGCTTGAATGCAGAAGTAGCGCTCTGACACTTCTTTCCCCATGTTTGTTATCTTCCTCCAAGGGAAACACAGCTGTCTAGTGCCCCTCTACCCCGAAGAGTAGGTAAGAAATTATTCTCTATACTTTTGACATTAAAAATCAATGGGACAGCAAAAGAAGAAGAAAAAAATAAACCTCACAACTGCAGAATGACTTTGAATTACAGCGTAAATGGTTCGGCTGTATGTGTCTCCCCTGACGAGAGCATTAAGTTCCACTTTGCCTTGCCCCCAAGCCCAAAGGCCCCAGCCAACACATGAGGATTTTTGTTCTTATTTGGCAATAAAAAAAACCCAAATGCACAAAAACACCAGAAGACTTATTAAGCCAGCAAGCTCAATTATTTCTTGACACACTTACTGTTTTGGAAGAAGGTTTGAAGCAGGACTACCATACCTCCATGTTTCCCTTGATACCAGCTCTCTTTCCACTGGAAATTGCACCTGAGCAGACCTAGGTGACCTTGGAAATCTGAGGTTTGCAGGTGTCCAGCTGCCGGACCTGCCACTGTGCCCGAGCAGATGACCCCCCCCCCAACACGGCATGGCTATTCAGCATGTGCTGCTACAGGACTGAACTCTACACGTTTTTCTCACTGTGTCATACTTTATCTTTTTTTTTTGTTTCCTACTCCTTCTTATTATATTCTTCCACACTTTACTGTTCATCCATTTCTCCTGCGTACATTGTCAATGAGATCACTGACTCCCGACACAAATACTTTTGCCCATATTTTGAAAAAACAAAAACAAAAACAAAAAAACAACAAAACCCAAACAAACAAAAATGCCCCCTCTCCCCCCCCCAAGCTCTTGAAAAACAGCTGGGGATGTAGATTAAAAGAAAAGAGAACAATTTCAGATTTGGGAGGGAGGCAGTGAAAGCCTCGAACAGGTCACTACTTTCTCAAACAGAAGTGACACATTTCTGGTTTATATGCAGAAGCACTGTCGCAAGGAGGTAATGCCATCTCTTCAAGTGTTTGCTAACCCAGCGGAGGACGTCAAAAAAAACAGTGGTATGAAGCTGAAGTCATGGAAACGGAGATGAGAAATTATACTTACTATGAGTGATGATGATCAGCTGCTGGAATAAACTACGACAGAGAGCAGTGGGTTCAGCATCCTTGATGCCTGGAGGTCAAGACCACCTCTCTAGAACATGTACAAACACTAACTATGCTTTCATCACACTTAAGCAGCCAGGTTCAGTTAGGGATAAACTGGCGGAAAATACGGACCGTGATAAACAGGAAGCCACGTTACAGGGCACTGCCCTCACCTAGCCTTCAGATGCATGAAATACTGGGAAGGAGGAGGTCTGGGAGCCAGTGTGATAGGCTGGTGGCCTGATGCCCACTAGCAACCCTGAGAGTGCCAAAGGTTTGCCTCCTGGGACCTGGCAACATAGTATGTAAGAAATCTGAAAATAATCACATGATGATTAATTAATTTAAGTACCCCACGGGGTACTAAATACCTTATAATAGAAGTAAAAGACACGGTCATTTAAGGAGTTAAGTTAAATGTTAGACATAGTGCAATGAGCATTGCTAAATAGAAGAGAGAGAACAAGATGAAGCAAAACAATGCCTGGAAGTTCATTAAGTTTTAGCATGCAGGCATCTTCGTGACTTAATTAAACTTTTTAGGGTGTGAATTGCTTCAATTACAGTGATCTAAAAAGATCAAAAAAGGTCTAAAAAGAAAGGACCTTTAATTTCAATAAAAATATTTATACATGAAACAAACAAAACATGACCAGAATTGAG